TCCAACCCCAGGTGCTGACACGCCTCCGGGAATGCTCATATTGGTTCCTGTCACTGGCTTCAAAACATATTAATTATTTATTATTGGCTGCCATGCGACGGCCTCGGTGCATAACTAAAATTCAAATAACAATCGACCGTCTGCTTACGGGCAATCAGGGCAGACCAGTGCACACTACTACTGCATGGCTAAAATGGTATGTATGCAAAACAGAAGTCTGGTTTTAGACATGACGAGTGCGGAGTATGATAGGCAGCACAAGACGGACGCCTTCAGAGACTCGGCGGATAATACGCCCCGGGCTAGACGCCATAGGTGGCTAGTTAGCACGAGAAGGTATCAACACGCTTCCGTGAGCTTGACCCATAGTTTATCATACGCATGTGGCATGTGTTTGTACGGGCAGCATAAATCACATAAACTCTCTCCATTTTTTTGCAAGTAGAGGAAGGTTTTTCGTTTCTTGATTAAAAATGGAAGTTATTCCCAATCCTATATTTTTACCCTTTTTGCCGTATTTGCGCTGGCCGGACTTCGCATTATACCGCTCGTGCTTCGGACATCCTGAAGGAGTGCACAAACAGGCTGCATAGGAGGGGAAGTCTGTGGCTGCTAGGGTACCGGAAGCTTCTAAACCACCACAACGCTTAAGCAAAGTGCCGGTGAACATAAGAAGATGTAGGAAACCGGAAGGAGAGCTCTCTTCCTTACAACATTCCGGCATGTGTTGGCAGTGTAAAACTATGTCTGGGAGAGCGTGGGCCTATGTATGCGACTATCGTATTCAGCCGGAGCGGCTGCTTTGATCGAGTTTAGTCAGGGCGTCTGGAAGCGTTTGCAATAAAGGTGAGTCATCTCGACGCGACGGGTCGCGGAACGAAGATAGTGGGTAGCGCGATCACGGTAATAACTACACCTCAGGGACGCCTAAGCTTTGATAGTGTTATTAAATGCCGGCATAACTCCAATATTTGTTTGGAATCAGTAAAGTTGAATTGGCGAACACACGTTTGTTTTCGATAATCCTCATCAGGCATTTACATTTAAATGGTAATTAAGTAAATAAACTATGCGGATTGGTAGAAAAATAGCACGGTTGACAGGGCGGGATAAGGGGGAGATTAGGGGTCAAAATCTGATCAGCGTTAGGGGGAGACTGGTAGTCGGCCGAGGTGGTAAGCTGCTAGCTGCTAGATTAGCGATTTTTGACCATGATAGCTGCGGCGCCGTGACGAAGTTCTTTTGGGCGCACAGGTCGGTGAACGGGCCGTGACCGGTTGGAGTAGCCTGATGGCGGCCGCTT